GCCTCATCTACACGTCTTTTAAATACCTCCAGGGATGGGGACTCCACCACTTCCCTGGGCAGCCTGTTCCAATGTTTCACCACTCTTTCAGTAAAGAAATTTTTCCTTACATCCAATCTAAACCTCCCCTGCCGCAACTTGAGGCCATTTCCTCTCGTCCTATCACTTGTTACTTCGGAGAAGTATGTTTCAGATATTCCTGAAGTATATCACGTTCCTGCAATGCAGGCAGTGTAATTGCCCTCTCTGTGGCATCTGGGTACAGAACACATAGGCAGAACAGAGTGATCCTCAAGCATGATGATGTCTTGCAATTAAACTAATAACTGTATGGAGATCAATTTTGCCTCCCGAAACAGCTGTTGGAACGAACCACCTTATTCGAAAATGTACAAGTTCAGCTGTGGGGGAAATTCAGCCCACTGTGGTTACTGTTTATGAAATCTGTGACGCAGACTCATGTTAAATCCTGTGCTACCAGTGCTTGCAGGGACTGTGCAAATTACAGTTCTTTTAGCTATTAGATTTTTTTCTTGATTACACCCAAATATGTTCCAAAGATGTTCTTAAATTCATTATTACACAATAAGGCAGGTACATGCTTGTGCTCCCAGACCACAGCAAGTGGGAGAAAACAGAACTTTTTGACATTTGCCCTGTATCCACAAACACGTCTAAAGTTGCGCCCACCCACGAAAAACTCATCTGTGAGTAGTCTCAGTGTAACGCAGGAACCAGCGGACCCAGCAGCAGCTCATCCACTTAACTAAGAGCACATTTACACACAGAACAGTGACAAAAGCAAACACCTTCCTGCCAAAATAAACCCCCCAAGTGAGAGACAATTCATCCTCTCCCCAATAACAGGTGAAAGTGTTTGCAATCCAGGTAGCTGTAAGTAAGTTTACAGCAAACCAGCGATCACCACTACTCCCATGTCACTCCTGTTTTGCATGGTTTCTACGCTTCTTCTGTCTGCTTGAGGCCATAGCTGCTCTTCGGTTTGTTAATTAATGAGATGGAGCACCTATGTTGGTGCTTATATATGAATCACACTGCACAGCATAAGATAAACACCCCATCTTAGTGGATCTCACTGCTCCCCAAGGCAGGGAAGTCTTGTCATCTCCATCTCATACGTAGGGAACTGAAATACAGAGATGTGATGTGACATGCATGGAGTTAGAAAAGGGAATTTTTAGGGGGCCAAGACACGGGACATTTGAGTTCATGCCCAGCACCTGGTCCTTTGACCTTCCGGATGTTCCTTCTCCGCATTTCTACCTTTATTTATTTCCCCTTTTCTCATCTTCTTCTATTGCCTTGTAACTAGCTGTTTGCTTTCCCCCTTCTCATCTACCTGCACCTTTTTTCCCCCCCCACTTTATTCCTGATCTCTCCAGAACACTGTGGCTCTTCTAGTTCCTGGACACTCCTATGTGAGGAGTGTTTCATAAGGATGCTGGGCCAAGTGCCATCACCACTATCAAGCGCATCTAATTGTGGCTGAATCACAACACAATGAATACCAAACATCCCATCCTGAGGTAAAGACTGTGCACACTTTTCTGCTCCAGTCGATAATGTCCCTTGCTGATAAAAAGCTGCATCTCAGTCCAGCTTGGATGATTCTCACAGCACGTCTACACTCGAAAGTGAACTGCAGAGTATGAGTTCATGCTGTAAATGCCTAAGTACTGAAATGTCCTCACTTCACCTTCCAGCCGCAAGTGTTTTGCTCCTCTCTGAGCTCACTCTAACTTTCAACATCTTTTTGAAAGAGTGGGCACCAGGACTTGGATCCTCTAATTATAGACTTCCCACTGCACAGCTTGACCCCCTCGCTGTTAACCTGCCTCAATATGTTGACATATCTGAACATACCCAGTTATTTGCAAAGTTCTCAAGTCCTCTCCAGAGATGCTGCTCCTTTCCAAGAGACACTTTTCTCTCCTGGCAGCCTGGCCTCCAGACTCTGTTTTTAAACAGGCAGCCTTGCATACAGCTGTATTAAAAACACTCTTTTGATGAAAGCCAGGTCAGTTGGGCAAACGTGCTATGGCTCCCACTGCGCACAGTTTGCTGCCTGCACTAGACCAAGTGCTCCCGAGCACGTCCTCACCTCAGTCTCTTCTCTCAAGCAGCTGCCTCAAGCTGTCCCTCTGTGTGGGTCAAAATAACGTCTTCACCTCCTGCCAGCACCACACATTTTGCTGGATGTAAGTCTACCATAAACAACACCCAGGTTGGAAAGGTCTTTGGCATGGCTGGACCCACATCCCAGGCCCTTCTCTGGAGACGGTGCCCAGCAGTATTGCCTCTCCGCCACAGTCTGCGCACGGCCGTTCTGCTGGGCTTTTGTCACCACCACTGTCCTTGCCCACAGCTAATTGCAGTGCGAACAACCCCCCTGCCAGCTCGCCCTCCCTTCTGGCTCTGGCTCTCTTAAGCCTTTCTACAGACACATGGCCGTAGGGCTAATAGAGCAGCAGACAGGCCAGCCCAGCCCACTCCCCCGTTCTCTGCTGCCAGAAGAAACTCACCACAAATGTTACTCTAAACAGAGCCACCAAGAAAGGGAGTGAGACAAGAAGGAAGGGTGTTTCAGATAAAGTGGGCTAAGAGCACGCCCAGTGTCATACTTCTTGTGGGGAAACCTGTAATCTCTAGACTCAAGACAGGTAATGATACAAACCAGCACAGTCTGCAGGCTGGAGGAGTTTAAGATCTTACTTCACTCCCTCTCTCCAGTTCCCAGTTGGCTCTCACTGGTCCCTGGCAAAGATCCTGCAAATCCACTCCAGGGTACCACAGCAGCTTTCAAGTCCTCTAGTGAGGCAGCTGTTGTGTTAAAATTGCATGTCTTCCTACATGGGGGATGACTTCTGTGGTATCTCAGCTATGGAAAGGCTACAGTGAGGGAAGTAAAGATGAAGTACAACCTACCAGAGGTCATCAGACCTTCTAAGAACCTGCAGAGAATTTGGCAAACTGATATGAAACAGATCCTCTGAACTCCAAGCTACTAGACAGAGACCAGGCCCAAATGGCTTCTTTGAGACAGAAGGGGACAGAAAGGGAGGGGATCTAAGTGGCACAGTTTGGAAGAAAGGAAGGAAAGGAGAAAGAATGCAACGCTATTTTTAGCAAGACAGCCACAGTGAGCATTTGGAAGCAGTGCAAACGACTCAAAGTACAGGATCGGTAACAATTTCCTCAGGTGGGCCAACAAAATAAAATGCTTGCAGCAAGAGACTCAGCTCTGATGCGCTGCTCCAATCACCAGCTCTGCTATGCAAGCCCTCCCTGGGAACGGGCTCCAGAGACTCCTCTGACACAGCCATTTCTGCATGCGAGGTGGCAAGCGCCTCCAGGAGTTATCAGGTGCCAGTCTCCAGATGACAAACACGCACAGCCTGATTCATGCTCCTACAGATACAATCCTTCACTTCTCGCGCTTGCGGCGACAGGCACCAGGCAATTTATTTTCACATGTCTTGAGGACTTTTTTGTCACATGTCCAGCAGCTACTAAATCCCAGCCAATACCTCCGGCCTGTTTGCCACCAGATGGTACAACCGCAGCTGGAGTTGTAAGCAACGGACCTCCAACATGTAGGGCTTGAGTTCATGCGGATGGGACAGCAGCCCCAACCCACTCCCGTCCTGTGTTTATACACACTCATGCACACCCTGCCTGCAGAAGCTTTGGCTCTTTCAGCACTGGATCGCTGCCAGACTCAACAGCTGCTCCTCGCCCAAACAGCCAGTCACCGACTCCACTGAAAAACCAGGGGAAAAAATGGAAGCATTCAATGAGCCACTGTCAGCTAAAACATCTTTGCCTCCAGCAACTAAGTGGCTGCGTGAAAATAAATCAACAGAAGTGACTGCATCACCAGGAAACTGTTTCGACCCTTCCTGGCTATTTTCAGTTCAGATTTGTAGGGGCCGTTTTGCATTGCCTCCTCCCTTCAGTGTGGATACTGGACTTACATGCAAGACCCTGCAGCTTAACTGCTGCTGCTGAAGGGAAGATGTTCAAAAGAATATAGTTGACCTTCCAGTTGCAATAGGGTGTGCAATTACTCTGCCTCAGCTGACACGATGGTATTCATTAAGCTGCAGCAACATGTCTTTCCAGAAAATCAATGTTAAACTGACGAAACTCCCAGGGTCTCGCTTCTTGGTTAAAGCAAGAGCACTCCAGTAGCTCCTGAGTCAACGAGTCTTTTTCTCTGCTCTGTTACTCAGGAGTTGCAGGGGTGTAATGTAGGAGTCACACAGAAGTGACACAAGCCCAGGCTTTTAGAAGATGAGAGGTCCTGCAAAGTGATGTTTCTGTTCTTTCACGATTGACCAGAAGTCAGAGAATCAATTAAAGATCCACTCACCAAACTGACTCTTATCTGCATCAGTGCAGGTATAACGTTCCCAGGTTTGACGACAGCAGGAGGGCTAACGCAAATGGCATCCCAGCAAGAACACAGTAAGAAGTCACTGCTTGGCTTTGGGAAAGCACAGAGAGGTTCAACCGCTCTGCGCCGCATGGTGCCATTAACCACCCCTAACCTGCCCTCCTCACCGTGAGCTGGGCAAGCTCAGCTTAGTCATGTTCAGTCATTTATTCTCAAGGTAAGCCTCCGCAGCTGGGATACGGCAGAGGAAACCAACAGGTCGTGAATAAAAATCCAAGTGCTTTGCTACAGAGCGAGCTGGGTCTGTTAGCATCAAGTTACATATTTCAACATTCGCATTTTGGGAGATCAAAGCAGAAACACTTGAGTTCCGCCTAGGCTTTTGAATAATCTTGAAAACATAAATAAATAAGTTAGAAAAACGCAGTGAAAGCACTGAACACTGAGAGTCCTTCAAGCCCTTCTGTTCTACCAGGCAGACATCTTTTATTTTTGCTTCCCTTTGCTTTGCCTTTGACGGGGGGTTTCTTAACTGTTTCCACAGCCTATTTCTGACAGGGAAGACTTCATCTACCACTCTGCTCTAAGCCTGATACAAACTGATCCACGATCTTTAAATACACTGCTACATAACTGAACCTTTCACCTTCTATTCTCAACTTTACTTTCTCTTCATGGTTTTAATACTTTACAGAAGCAGGTGGAGGGACGGGGGCAGGAAACAACCCTGGTGTAAGATTAAAATAGGGCAGAGAGCAAACAACTGTATTCCGAAATTCAAAATAGATTCAAAATAGATTCAATCAGACCAGATGTTATAAAACATGAACAAAAGGAAAGATTGTGTTTTGTTACAACGCAGACAACAATGTTTCAACAACAGGATGGAGTAAGAAACCTGGTCTTATAGGTCTTTTTCAACTCCAGAGCGAATTCCACAAGAGGGAGTTTACTGGAACTATAGCAATTAACACAGTCTAGTTCATCCTTTTTGTGATTTTGGAACATGTTTATTGCAGATGTTAAAACCATTATGAGAAAAATATTTCTGAGCAGTCGAAGGCTCGTCTGGACAATCAGATTAGAGATTCGTAAAAATAAAGAGGATACAAAGAAAGGGTGAATGGCAATGAATTAGGGACCGTATCTGAAATTTAAGACTTTCTCCACTGGTTTGACTTTATGCAGAAAATGCAGCCAGGCAGAACTAAAGCAAATTGGTTTAATTCCCTTGAGGAAACAGAACAAATTTTCCCAGCAACTTTCAGCTACAAGCATGCGTGACTGCAAATTTGGATGGAATGTACAATCAGTAATCTACAAACCAGTAATAAAATGAAACATTAGCTTTTACCTACCGCTTCAGCAGTACACGGGCACTGCCAATTAAAACACTAGGAGCAGGTGGAAAGGAAATGGTAAAATAAAACCAAATGAAGTAGAAGATTATTTGATACTTAAGTCTATAAATTCATTTGGACCGGGTCTCTCTTTTCTATTTATACATGCACAGTGGGGCCCTAGTCTATAGTCACTGCTGGAGGACAGAGGTTTTTCAGACTTTCAAAACTTGAAACAAATGGTCAGCTCTTCAAGGCAAACCACTTCAGAAAAGGAAGCTGGACTTAGAATCTAAAGTGCTTTCCCCTGAAATCTGCCAAAAGCCCTAAGCTTGTATTTAAGCAGGAGGGCTAGTTCCAAAGAAATTAAGGCGATGGCTCAAGAAGTTAAGCATGTGCTCCACCCCTTTGCTGAATTAGAGCTGCAGAAGTAATTAGAAGCCTTCTAAAAAGGCCAACATCAAGAAGAGAAAAGTGTTAACTTTAGAGATAACAATTAAACTGTCACGATGAAAAAGCAGTTGCCTTGCAGTTTGGGAAAAGCACAAATATTTCAAAGGAGCAGGGGAAGCTCATAAAAGCACTACCATACTTCCATCAAAGAGAAAACTGTAACTTCACAATCTTATTCTCAGTCTTTCCAATCACTAACATATAGGATTTAGACACATCTCAGTGTTTTATAGAATTACTAATTTACTTTGTAAATATGCTTCCTGAGAACAGTTAGTCCAATCAACTTTCAGGAAGAGCGCACCATGTGAAACAAATGAATGGCAAAACAAAGCAAAAAAAAAGTTCCAAAAAGTATTTTCTGCGCACTTTTCCGAGTTCTATCAATCCCCCATCCCTCCAAGCAATTTTCTACGCACCTCAAAGTACTGTCTCCTGAAAGGTCTGGCATTAGCAGCTGCAGTTAGTCTGCACTGAACTCAAAGAAAACCTCCACGGATCAGATTGCCAGGTGTGGCTCAAGGTATTATATCCTTAGTAAAATTAGTGCATACATCCTGCTCTGTACCCTTAACACCACAAAACCCAGTCACATTTCCAAAAGAAAATTCTGAATTGAAAGAGGACAGTGGTGAAAAAACGCAGTGTTCAAAAGCAGAGAGTTTTGGACCAACAGAACTGATCCGCTGAGAAATTTTAACGACTATTTCCCCAACCAGTAATCAATTTTACACTGTATGACTTAGTTCCTCTGTTCACTCCTTCCTTTACTCTAGGGTGAACATTAACACCTATGTCAACAGCAGACCCCTCAACAGAGAGTATATCTGATAGCTCGGGTACAGCTGTTGGCTGCTGTTTTGCTATCACGAAGTATTGCAGTCTTTTTCGCTTTGAGTTACCTGTGCAGAGGAGCTGATCCCGAAAGTATTCCTTCCCACACGAAGTCACACACTGCCCGTTCTTCATTAGCAGGGATGTCTGGCACGAGGAGCACTCAAATCCATTGGTACAGGCTGAGCATGTTTCATTGCAGGCTTCCAAGAGAAAGAATAGAGAAGAAAGATGTATTAATCCCAAATGTCTTGATGCAGCAAGACTCCCCTGCTCTGATAAAGGGAGACAATTTTGCCTCATTTTGGCAGAAGAGTTCGAGAATTTGCATTTTTCAGGGGCTTCCACCTGAAACCTCCTGAAGTTTTAAGCCCATGGTTACTACTCAATATGTGCCTGAATGCTTTTCCAAACAAAGCCTGGCAATCTCTTTATAATAAGCCTGTGGGATCCTACAAACAAAAGCACAGCAAGCCACGGAGAAGACAGTCATCTGACGGGGTATAAGCCCTCGCAGAAATTACCTAAGCAAGTCCCCCCATCCTGGTAGAAGCCCGATTCACACGTCTGCACACAGCGCCCATTCTGCAGCTGCCTCCTTGTGTCTCGGCAGGCGTTACAGTGATCAAAGGACTGAGAGCAGGTCAAACAGTCTGGGTGGCACTCAACTGGCACAAAGAAAAGACACAAAGGTAAAAACCGTCAGCAGTCTTTTCAATCGGGAAGGCACAAAACAATGCATACTCCAAAATCAAAGTGAAATTTACTACGTATTTCTGTTGGTGGTTCAAGGTGTGTTAGTTTTGGAGTGGGTTTTTTTCCAAGATTGCATGAAAGGTGCTAAATATTATATTGCCGTATTCTAGTATGTGAGAAGTTATTGCACAGACTCAGATTTTCTAGACTACTGATAAAAAGGATATTCATTGTCCACATGGTTTCTCAGCAGTAAAAATCATAAGTCATCAGGAATTAATGGTCCGAAACAACCTGAATTTCAGTTTCCTTCAGTCAAACCCTGCAATAAGTCAAGACTGGGTCCATACCAGGTCAGAGTACAGGTGGCAGACCACTCCCCCTCCAGTCAAAAGCGCTATGTCACAGCACCATAGCAATCATTTCCTGACCACAGGTATTTTCTCAAACAGCATGGCTGCTCTCTCTGCAGAGGCCAAGAGAAGGACTACTTTCGCTTCACTACTGAGCTACTTTTGCTTGCTGGAAGAAAAGCTGTCTGTTCCTCCCTGACAAGTCAGCAAAAAGGATCCCAATGCTGCAAACTCTCCTTCTTTTACACTAAGTAACCTGCAAGTTCCCAGGGAGAGGTACCTAAGGAAAGAATCAGGAATCAAGAGCTACAGAAGACATACAGTTGAAGATAACAATGAATCCAGAGTGATAAACAGGAGGTATGAATAGGAGGCTCTGTCTCTATCCATTTCTTTCCAATAACTTTCCACAGGTATATGCAGCCCTATCCTTCCAGAGTGACAATGAACTGACTACATGGACAGGTACAGAATGGACAATTTTTCTCTAGGTACAAAAAAATCCCCTCTGCTCCAACCTGAATGTTCTCAGTGAGAGGGCATATTTGCTGGTTTTCACATAAATACAGCTATGCTTAGGGCTAGATGCTTTACACTGGCTGAGAATGAATGGGTTCTCTCTGCCTGCTTCCCCCAAGCACATCTGTGAGAAGCAGCAATAAATTTTTACTGGCTTTAACTAAGCAGATGCGTTAGGGACTGATGCTCTGGGTTCACAGATTGAACTGCTGCAGGCTGGATTTTGCATTTGTTTCTCACTCCGTCCAACGCAACACAGAAAAAGACAGAGGGAAAACAGCAGGCTTCAGTAAATGAAATTTCCATTTACCTTTTAGGACACAAAAATGCAAGTTTGGCTCTGTATGCCCAATACCATGACTTCAAAGCCTGTATTTCCAGAATGCTTCCATTACGGAAGCTAAACGAAGAGGCCAGATTTTCAAGGGTAACCAGTACACAGTGGCACTTCTTGATAAGCAGGAGAACAGATGGGTGCTGAAAGCACTTTATAATCTGCCCCCTTCTTAGGAGCCTGTGCAGATGCTGTTCCCTTTCGAAAATGCAGGACAATTTTATCCGAACTGTCCAAAACCCATTTTCCTCACTTTTCCATTTGTAGTGCTTTGCATTTTTATTAGCATGCAGTAAATAAAAAGCTTTAAAACATTAATATGGCAAACGTGCCAAGGCACTCCTGCAAATGACAGCATAATTAAACTGTGAAGCTATTTTCATTTTACTGAGATAAAACATTAACTGGAGCACTCTGATAAAACCAAAGTTATATGAATGCAACAAGAAGAGCTACCAACATGAAAAATCAGCAAACCACAGCCACAGCCTACCAACTATGAAATGTAAATCAAGGAGAATGACAATATCCTGGAGAAAAATTAATTTATATGCACAATTAACATATAAGCTAAGGCTATCCTAATCTTTCTAAACAGTTACGAACTGGCAGCCATTCAGCCCCAGGTGACCTTGTGGCATAACAGTGTAAGCAGGTTCTTTCTTCCTTCTACTCCCAAGAAATAATCAGGAGTTCCAACACCCATGTTAGGATTCAGAAAGGAGCAGTCCCCGGCCTTATAAAACTCATGTTGAAGAAAAAAGAAAAAGACAAAATGTTTCCAAAACACCAAACCCAAGGAGAAACTCTCACCAACTATGATGTAAATCAAGGAGAATGACAATATCCTGGAGAAAAATTAATTTATATGCACAATTAACATATAAGCTAAGGCTATCCTAATCTTTCTAAACAGTTACGAACTGGCAGCCATTCAGCCCCAGGTGACCTTGTGGCATAACAGTGTAAGCAGGTTCTTTCTTCCTTCTACTCCCAAGAAATAATCAGGAGTTCCAACACCCATGTTAGGATTCAGAAAGGAGCAGTCCCCGGCCTTATAAAACTCATGTTGAAGAAAAAAGAAAAAGACAAAATGTTTCCAAAACACCAAACCCAAGGAGAAACTCTCTTGCCAGAAGAAAGCCATCATTTAAACCAGGGGAAGTCAGTGGGAGCCTTCGGATGGAGCCCTAAACCTCTCTAAGAACCCTAATTAAATTATATGGAAACCAGTTAATTAGCAACTGCAAACCGAAGACAAGTTAAATTTCAACACGGTATCCGACAGGTAATGGGGGAGTGAGGGCCACAGGGATGCCAGAACAGCCCCCATGCTAGAAGTGTATGTGACGCACACGCTCCCACCCAACACGAGTGAGGGGAAGAAACGACTGACCCTGGGTCTGTACCTGGCTCGCAGCGCGGGCAGCAGTCACCCTTCACCTCCACAGCCAGGCTGCCCAGCGGGCAGGGCGGGCAGGAGCGCTGGAAGCAGGTCACCTCTGCGTCCCGGCATTCGCATTCTCCGCACGGCCCTTCTTCCCATTTCTCTCCGTTCTGCACAAGAAACATCGAACGGGCCAGCATCAGTAGGGAAGGAGAGCCTTTGCACAAAGTGTTTTTGCCATGCATGGAAATCTCTGGGTAAATTGCAAGGCTACATCAGTGCTAGTAGTAAATTAAACATCTCTGGGACTGTTTCAGCACTGAGGCCTGCCGACACGGGACTGCGTGCCTCTGTACCATTAACCCTCTTGCCCTCTTTGCCTTTCCAGAATAAGGCGGCCTGCAAAGCGCCTACTGGGAAGAGTCCTTGGCCCGTGAACACCTGAACAGGTTCCCTCTCAGCACTCCCTCCAAAGCAGGGTGTTTTTCAGTTAGCAGTAAGTCCTTTCTACTTCTTCACCTCCCTTCGCTTTCTCGGACTCAAAGCATTTCCTCCTGCCTCCATATTTTGCTGCCTCACTTGTCCACTTGTTTTTCACAGCTTGGTAACAAGTGCTTGAATCTGCTCTGTATCTGAACAGATAGATACCCGTAATCTGTCCTCTGTCTGAACCTATGTCTTTGCATAGTGACCTTTTTGTCATACTTTAAATCTCTTTCTAACCTTAACAGCATTTTACTTCCTCTCCTCCTCTCTTCTATTGCCTTGTTTTCCATCACCAAGGACTGGCCGAAACACTACAGAGGTGAAGAGGTATCACCGGCTTTCTTCAAAACTACCCATCGCACCTGACAGCTGTCTACTTTTACTAGTTGATGGAGGGGAGAGATCTTGCACCCACTGTTCCCCTCCTGCGATCCGCATCCCTTGGTCTGCTCAAAAGGCCACCGAAGCTGCCCCCAGCGGCTGAGGCTCTGCTGGCACCACGTGAGGTAGTCAAAAGGCAGAAAAGAGAGAGCAAGCATTTTAAATGCCCGTGAAGCTTTTGTGCCAGTTCCTCTCTTAAAAGAGATAAAGCACAAACTGGAATAAACCTGACACCTTAATATGTTTTACCTCACTTGGGTCAGAGAGAGAGATCTGAGGAAAGAAAGGGAAGTATTCGCATTAAAAAAACCCAAAACAGTATTAAACTTCAAATTTCTCACATCTGTTGGCAAACAGCAGCTATTACCTCCAGTCCTCATCTGTCAGAGCAATGAAAAGTCCATTACTGGTATATTTAAACCGAGATACTTAATGTTTCCTTTCTATTTAACTTCAGAAGGAAAGTTCCTTGAAAATATTCATAAAATAACGGACTCCTGTTGCAGTAAAAATGATAATCAGTGGGAAAAATAGGCAGAAAGCTATACATTGCCCCAGCTACGTAGCCTCTACTTTATAGGATTAAAGTCAGGCATCTTTAACTCCATTAGACGTGCAGGAAACCTATGACTACGTATATTCAATATTAAAGGGAAATGATTGATTATACCGCACAAAGGAAAGCAAGGCAAACTTAAACTCTGCAGCAGATGCACACATTATCAACAAGTGCGTTCTGTAAATTGTAAAAGCAATCTGCAGATAATATTAAAGGATTATTTTTCTGCTACACTTGCAAATAATATTCTTCGAAGAACTGGAGAGGGAGAGCCAATTACTCCAAACCTTTATGAGCAGAACTCACTATTACGTGCTCCAAAGTACCAGGATACTCACAGCTTTGGTATGTTCTTTGTAAACACAGTAACTATTACTTAAAATACATTCAGGACAGCACTTCCCATCTAAGTGAATTAATTCTTCACCCTGTAAAGAGAAAGGTTGCAGCAATTCAAACGGAATCAACACCACCAAAAATACTGTGGAATGCAGAGGCAGAACAGCTCTTGCCCTGGAATGCAATCTTCAATATCTAATTTCACCTTATCTTCTCTCTATCCTACCTCATCTCTGTAGGTACAGTTTGAAAAATGTGCTTGGTGAATACTGCAGTTGCAGAACAAACCTCAGAGAAGGCCAAGGAATTCAGCGATAAGGCCATTACTTCATCCCTAAATCCCACAGAGGAAGACCCCCCCAATATAACCCACTGCAAATACAGAGAATAGGAATGCCATATTTTTATTACGAATCACTAGGATTTTCCTTGACCACTGTCAAGATTTCAATGCATAGAAGCTTAGCTTCATTTTGAATGTTCGACTTTTTTTCCCCAAGAGAATTTCAAAGCACATACTCTATTTATCCCAGATGGGAAAAGCCTGTTCTTTGTTACAACTGTACAACTCCACAGAATCCACTTAAATAACTTCGGTTTGAAGATAAGAGTTTAGCAGCAGGAGAAGGGAATAAAGTGCCCTAATCCGTCACGACTTTTCGTGCCCAAGTGGAAGCTGAGTATTTAGAAAAGAGGGACACCGTCCTAGGGAACTAGGACACAGCTCTAAAGAAACAGCTTCAATTTCCTGACCTGATTCTCACGCGTTGTAAGCATAGGCAAGGTAATACATACTAGTCAGAAAACAGACATATGTATACAAACCCACTACAATTAAAAAGTTACAAATTAATGACTAAATTAGATTCGGTGCCGATCTGCACTGAGCGCTTCTTTAATCTATGCCCGTTAAATGTCAGTGTTAATAGCCATCCCAAATCTCAGGGGGCATAATCTTCCCAACTTTGCAATCAGGCTGATTACTTACTTGTGACAAACAGAGAACTCATGACAGTTCGTTAAATGTTTGCGAGGGGCTCACATACCCAATGAAATCACACAGCTCACACTGGTTTCCATTTCAGCGTGTTGCTGCTTTCTTCTGATGGCTCACAAAATTCAGCTGAGCGTCAAGTTTACCAAACAGCTTTGCTGATTTACACCAACCGGGCATCTGTTCCAGCAGTCGCTCCAGGATATTTTTCACTGTGCCACATTGGCACGCTCACCAATTTGTGTATGTGAATTACTTTAGACATAGATAGGGCAATAACAGCACCGGTCACTGTTAGTTTCACCAAGGTAGAACTAAGCCAGGCCACACTCTGACAACCCCCATCCATTTCTGAGAACGGGTAAGAGAGGAGAAACCGTATGGTTCTTAGTCATCGAGGACCACACACAGCCTAAATCTCTCTCTGCTGGTTCTATACATTTTTGCTTTTAAATCACTACTTCAGAATGCCATTGGCAGTGGTTGGATCTCATGTCACTGCTATGTACTGTAAACTCCCGCATCCCCATCCCTGCCCACATCCCCACCCACATACATAAACACACACTATAGGAAAACTGAGAACAACTAGCCATGGAACATGGCTCGCCCAGCCGAAAAAAATGCAACCACGCTGTTCTGCCAAGACTCAGAAAAGGGAGAGGCTATGTGAGATAACTTGTGGCTTTGCTGAAGAGAGATTCATCATATTTCCAGGTTGAGAACATTGAAAGGCAATGATGGGCTGGGAAGCAGAAAAAGAGAAAAAAATGGTTTATGCAATCTCTCTCACACGCGTACACACCTACATCCACATGCAACATCCGCAACTCTCAACACCCTAGCTCCATTTCTTCTAAATATCAGAAAGACTTCTGCAGCTCGCCAGCTGTATGGTAGTCACGCAGCACCCTGCAAGCTCTATCTTATTGATCCTGTAGTTCCTAGGGCTGCTAGCAGAAATACTCCATCGCCAGCCTACTCAAGTAGGCTGCAGCATCCCCTGCTAGCACCCATGACCTGTCCTCCTCTGAACATTGTCATGAGTGTGCTTGCTTAGCTGGGGTGCTGGCAAGTGCTCTAGCAGGATTATTTGATGCTCTGACCGTTTGAGTGGTTTTGGTTGAGTGCATCCACTTCAACATCCACAGCTAGCCCAGCCTGCCACAAAACTTGTATTCCTAGCTCATCAGTAACCTGCTGAAAATGGCTTTTTGAAGATTAGGTCAGAATCACCACAGACACTTTCATTTGGCAGTTGCTGGACAGGTTTGTTTGAAAGGGTTTATAAGCTAAACTTCTACCCTACCCTCACGTAATGCTACTATATACTACGTCGAGCAGTCTAGGATTTGCAGTTCATATCTGTGGCCTCATTACACTTTAAATAGGATGATGTGACCAGAAAATTAATACTGCTTTAATGAAGAGATGAATCCAAATGCTCCTAGCTTCAAATCAGCTCTGATTTATTGATGCAGGTGCCTAAAAAACAGACCTGCAACTCAAAAAGAAAAAAACAAAGGAAAAAAAATATTTCATTTGCTTTTTCAGTAAGTATTTTCTTGTACTATTAAGATAAACTATGACTGAACATGACTTGAGGAAGCTAGTTTATCTTAAGGGAAGCCACGCAGAATAATAAATCCTTGGGCAAATATCTTTTTTCAAGTGGGACCATATTGTCTACAACAAAGGACACTGCCTTCCTCCTCCTGACCTCCTAGCAACCATGTTTCGTTCAATTCAAAATTGCAGCGGTTCATACTCTGACAAATAATACCACTTTTTTAGATGTCCAGGCTTTTAGATGGGTGGTTACCTTTGAGAGCCTGAGTTTGAAAAATTGCTGTGAGAGTGATAAAGCTGCACACTTTTGAACCTCTCCCCCCCCCCGTTTTAAACCTTACATGTTAACATCTCCAGCTATTGTTCTGTAAAATATCCTTGGCTTTTCTGAATAATGGATTCTTTGTCAGTACGCAAGATATGAGCATGAATATTAAATAATTCTCCCTACTGAGCCATGACAGCACGCCATCATCATTAGTGTAAATGATCCAATTTACAGCCATAAGCACACAGGAAGCTGACTGAAACAGATGCAAATGCACAAGATTTTATGACAGTCACAACCTTCCACCCAGCAAAATCTCTCTATGCAGTTTAAGGTCGGATGATCATCAGCAATACTACACCAGCGACAAGAATTTGGGTCCCACATTCAATGCATTTTTGCTATTTAAAGGGCACAAACTCAGATGAACAAGCATACACTTTTATTCCCAGATTCATCCTCTCTGATGATCGTCATTTGGGACTCCATGTGTGGATTCTCGCTTTTTTGAACACTCATTAAAACAATCTAATCCAGTGAATCCATTATGTCCGGATTTTGGCTGGACTGCAGACACAACACAAGGGTGCTGCTACTCGAGATTTAGCACACAGGCAGAGTCGCCAGAAAAGCATTGCCACTGAGAGAGAAAACTCAGAAGGCTACAATTCCTTCCCTTCCCTTCATTGACACTGTGCAGTAGTAGGTATAAAGCAGGTATTAGCCCACCAATTAAAACAGATGCAGTGACAAACAACACAGAAGTTTTATACCACTGCAAAAATGCAATTCAAAACATATCTCTGTGTGGGTGTGGGTGTGTGTGCTGTGTGTGAAGCATTCAACCATATCTAATGCATTTTGCACATCCACTATAGAGCAAATATAACATAACCTGGGGGCGTGTTGAGTTTTGGAGTAAACAGCACCGGGAATAAAATACCCTACCAGCTACACGTCCATGCCAAGAATGGCATGGAAAAAACGGAGAAAAGTGGAACACCGACTTCCATATCCAACTACCCTACTGAAGTCCACTGTAGCATACAGAACGAAGATAAAGCTTTTAACTATCTCTGACCTGTACATCTCTCCCCACATTCAGCTCCTGGTCAAGCCGGTGGTCACTGAAACCTCTGGGTGTCTGACCCTCCATTATAGCAGGCAGACAACAGTGTGGGAGGGAATCCAAGTTAAATTAGTCACTGATTCACACTGGCTTGCTTCACAATGCAAGCCCACTGAGCAGCCAACCTCGCATGGAAAATCCGAAGTTTACTCTCCTTTCCTGTGAAGTGTTTTCAAGGTAATTGCACAAAACAAGCCCCGAAAGGCAGGTTCTTTGAGTGTCTCAAGATGTCAGTCGAGAAAAAAAAAGGGGGGAAAAAAAATCACAAGACTTGAGAGATACATCTTGAAAGAAAGAAACCTTTCTTACCTTGGCACACTCCACTCTGGCACACTCTGCTTCCTGGCAAGTGACTTGCCCTTCATCACACACGCAGAAGTCACAGCCAGTACTATTCCACATCTCACTGTGGTACCTGATAGTGCCATCATACAAGCAGTTTCCCTTGGAAGACACACACTCCTCACAGCACTTCCCAGGACGCTGCACTTTGTTCTCCCCCTGCAAAACATCAGCAACCATTGAGCAGGACTGCCTGAACCCGTTGGCACGGGCACAGTGATACGTGCAGCCAGGGTATCAGAAGTGAATGATTTTTAACTACCTTCTCACAGGTAACAGAGTCACAGGTCTCTCTCAGACACCTGACTTCTCCTCTGTGACACGCACATGCAGTGCAGGTATTTTTTTTCCACTGTTCGCCATGCTGTTCAAAAAGAACACGTTCACAATTGTTAAACACTCTTCGTAAATAGCCAAATTCTTTCCAGAAATCTGTGCTGCTTATGGAATATGATGGCTCCTTCTGTATGTCTGTATCCGATAAACTTTTCTTAAAAAATGCTTATCTCTACATGATGAGCAAACAGGAAGAAGACGTACGAGGTCTAGATGACACTGCGGTGTGTATTTCTCATTAATTGCAAGCCAGTGACATTGGTGAGGCCTTAACTACTATTATTAGCAAAACATAATCATTAACAGAAAATCCCACATACATATATTCGTTAAATAATGCATTAAATTAATTCCAGATGATACAATGAAAGCTATAAATACTTTGACCTTCACCAGTGCTTTCTGCTTTCCTCCTTCAAAAAAGTGTGGAAAGAAAGTGCCTAATCTGCTTCACCTTGCAAACTTCCTTTCTGCTTGCCAGCAAATTCTTATCTAGTCCTAATTTCTTTCAACTCTTTTGGCTTTCCAGGAAGAAAAAAAGCAACCGTTGTACAAAGCTATCAGTGCTGGCAGAAAGTCAGATGTCATGGAGAAGGGAAAGAAAGATGTGCCAGAACTTGTGAACAACTGCCTTTTGGCATGGCTCATCAACGCTTACCTGGTACACTCTTCCTGACACCGAGCAGGGCTTTGGAATGCATTCTGGGCAGCATTTTCCAGGAGACATAACCATAACTTCATCCTAAACAGAAAGCAGGAGAGATAAGTAAAATAAGAGCATGAACAGTTAACATAGGGCTCAGCATCACCGCCTGGAATTCCAGGCATTTAGCATCTGTGTGATAACCCACAGTCACTCAAGGCTTCATTTAGGCTCCAATATCTGGGGGCAGTCTTCACAGCATGAGATCAGTGTAGAAAGCGAGAAAGATATTTCCTTCATCTCATTTTCTGGGCTTCTTTGGATGGCAATTGAGGTCCAAATACATAGATAGGTATATAGATGCCGATAAAGACACACACACATGAGATAAAGTACATATATTCAGGTATACAGATATACAGAGAAAAAAAAGTATATATAAAGCTATGTAGAGAAGCACACTAAAGCATGAGATGGAGAAGAGATTTTTTTCCTGGTACTGCCACATTTTGAGGCTTTGAATGTGTGATTTATATTCGCCACCTCTCAGGCATTTGCACTGTTTTAGTTAAATCCATACAGCATAACTGTCTGTACAGGTGTTAAATTATGCTTAAAACTGGATTATCTTAATTTAAAATTTTCATGACTGATTTAAATCACATTGGAATAGGTTGGCACTTCACATCAATATAACAGTTCCTGCATGCCTCAACTCCATCCATCCAGAACGTGTCTGTAATTCCCCTGATACAATTTCACATACATCCAACGATTTGGAATAGTATTGTTCACCAGCACCTGCCTCCAGCCACATCAGGATGACCGGGAGACTGACTTGTGGACTGAAAGTAGTGTAGCAATGCCAAGCACTATTACCTCATCTGCTTTGTTAGTCAAATCGCTAGCTTTCCAAGAAAGAGTGGACGACTTCGTATCAAAGTTATCAACAATAGATTTCCTAGCAGAGTTAAAAGAACTCTGTCATGGATTTTGGTGGGATATGTGGTGGGACATTCAGGTGCACTCCTGCATGCAACAAGCATTTTTGAAGTTCCTCTCCCTCAGCAGCCAGGGAAGGGCACAGTTATCTGAAAGATGGAGGATGAGAGTTTGATACTGGGAGAATTTATGTATTTGCTTTTGACAGGGAGTGGAGAATGAAGAAAGTGACAGAGATAAAGGCACATGAGAGAAAACGTTAGGTATGATTGAGAGCAGAACAGGATCCTTGCACACCTTGCCAAGGTCCCTTCCATCGGGCACCTTGGTAGGAAATACCTGGAACACCATCAGAATTGGCTTCCTGCTGCATTAACTTGGATGCTCTCAGCCAATTATTCTCAGATACATCACAGCAACAACACAGTCATTTCTGTTTCCACAAACTGAATCCTAATGATTAGCTGATTAAACACTAGTGCAATCAGTCAGCAGGTAACATCAGTTCATTTGAGTGGGAAAGGAGGAATCTAAAGCAGGCATAAATTTGTTTTAATGCACAGTCCTTAGTCAACAACAAACACTGAGTATCTCAGGACAAACCAAAACAGATTTAGCACGCACAGAAACAGGTGGGCTTTCCTTCTATCAAAAAAAAAAAAGTGTTAATTGTACAAACGTGGTCCAATAATAGAAAGCTGGGTAAGCATCAACAGGAGAAAAAGTTTATGACTACTGCTTTTGGTTTTTTCAGTGCTACAGGGAAGCGTGCTCAGCCAGAGCACACATTTCAAGTGAGCTTGTGGATTCATCGTTGGAGCGTGGTAATAGATTAAAAAATACTTGGGAAACAGCAGCTCCTAAAACATAAAGTCAGAAAGAGGGATTTCCAGGGAGCCAGTTCCTGCATTTCCTTAGCATGGCATGCTGTTGTAAAGGAGTACACCAAGGTGCCCAAGAAAACCGGTACAATGGGCCCAATGAAAAGAAATCCAAAGAGCATAGTCACACCCGTAGGTACTTCCAATACAATGAAGAGAATTCAAAAAATTGAGTCACTTGTACAGAGTGTGGAGTAGTGTGTATAGTTTGCTGCCTTTACTAACCCCTGTGTTAACACTGTATATAATCCTGTAGTGTTTTGGTTTGGTTGATCACTGCACAAGTGCTGAGAACTCATCATTTGTCCACAGCAAAGACCTTGGAGACAGAAATGTCCCAGCTCTCTCAATTGGACTAAAACCGTGAGTCACAACTTGAGCTTGCCTAACTTATCTTACTGGTTTTGTTGATTTCTAAACACAAGCACACGTAAGGAATAGTGCTCTGAGACTCTTCTTTCAGCTGAAGTTGTCTTGTATTTCTAAACTCTTTAAGTCAAAAGGGGAATTTCATCCGCATTTGACTACTTTCAACTGTATTTCTAGAGTTCTTGTAAAAAAACAAAGTAAACAAGACCTGCAAACCAAATTTTTCAGCTGCAAACCCAACACTGAAATTTGTGAAGATAAACCCCCATTAAAAATCTTGTCTTTTCATTCCTTCCCTCACAGAAATAAAAAAATTTCCTGATCAACCCTACATAATTTTTTTTAGTATAAAACAAAAAGCAGTTGCTTTAGACAGTATTTGTGCTTGGTAAGAGTAAAATGGTGGGGAAACAAGATATTAGGGAAGAGACAGACAGCACATGTATACTGACAGATTTAACCGGCACTCCACATCATTTCCACACATCAAAACTCCCTTTTCCAAATCGCCCACTTGTCACACAGAAGATTTGCCTGCTAATTTGTACATCTGCATGAGAAATGGACCTTGCCAAGGGAAAGACAACAGTCATGTCCCCAGAAGGCCGATGGGTCCCGACCTGGCCGCACAGCAGAGGCTGGCAGGAAGCTGTGAAGCACTGCGTCGTGCCGTCCCCGCAGATGCATTTGGAGCACCGACCAAGGCGCCAGTCCTCACCATCCCGGAACAAGCGTCCATCAAAGGAGCAAGGCTCTAAGAGATATGAAAACAATGGGTAATTTTCTTTTCCAACGCCCTTTAATCCCTTTCCGTCACCCGTAATTAAAACACAGATTTTGTGCATCTCAGAATTCAAAATTCTGGTTTGTCAAAGCAGGTAATGACAGTAACAATTCCACCAGTTTTCAAGGGCTTTAAACTTGTGAATTAAGAGCTCTGGATGCACTTCTCCCACTGGACTTCTATGAGAAAAGGTATCCAATCGCTCAGGCATTTTTGGAACTTGCAGTCCGAGTCTGCAAGTGCCAAAGGTACCCTCAGTACACAGGAAATATCTGCATCTTTTTTTCCAGATTTTAATCTCCAAAATAAGGATATATTAGGCACATCTGCTCACTGCTTAAAGCTTAGCACTTCCTATTGGCCTGTGGATGAAGCCGTTAAAAATGTAAATATGGTAGCAGGACAGCAAGAGAATTAAGAGACACACTTGACGCCAGTGTCTTCCCAGCAGAACTGAACAAGAAAAGAAAAGCTTTCCAGATTTGGGACTAAAAGGAGATTTCCAGTCCGACCTACTGCTCGGATCAATGAAGCCAGACAGTGCCCCATTCACATGCAATACTCACCGCCACGGCCCACACATTTGGGACAGCAGGATCCCTGAGCAGTGTATTGCAGCTCTCCTCGTCCACAAGTGAGGGCTGGGCAGGCCGTGGGGGTGCAGTTCACCTTCCCATGGGCACAGGAGCACTGGACACATCCAGAGCTGGCCCACTGCGTGCCGTGCTGCAGTGTACAACACAACCAAAGGCACAGAAAACACATGCATGAATCCAGCTGCCAATGAGACCTGCAAATATATCTTCTGCCTTTTAAGCCCCACTACGCTAGTATTAACTTTACTCTTTTGCAGGCCCAGTCAATCTTTGCACATTGTAGCCCCTACTCCTGGCTGCACTATTGGGGCAAAAAGTAAATTAATACCGGTAAAGTAGCACACCTGGGGACCAGCCTAACTCTCCTCCCTGTTGCAGAGTGGCATCCAGCAACAACCCACTGCAAAAGACACAGGCTATTGGATACACTCCACTACAGTTTCTGTAGGGCAAAATTTCACACCCCCTCTCCACTACAGTTTCTGTAGGGCAAAATTTAAATTTAGAGACATGTCTTCTTTAGCGGAATATTCAACATAGGCCCCAACACACACCTGACGACAGTGTGGTCAGGTGAACACTGCCTGCCCCACATACTTAACGCACTTCACTATGACTAAAATCTCATTAGATTTGCTTATTCATTAATGCAGAAACAAGTATCTCTACCCTGAGGCATGGTGAGGAAAAACTGGCCCCAAGAAGAAACATGTTGGTGTACTGCAACACACTCCAACAAACAGACAGTGTTAATTTTTACAAAACATGCAATATTGTTAGGCAGGGAGTAAAAAAGCTCTTGCCAGACACAGGGTACCGATTTTCTTCGATGGAGCTACCGCTAGGGCCAGTGTTGCTAGCTAGATACTTGTAGAATGAAGGTCAAGTCATAAAGCATTATGAGTGGCTCACTGACAAAAGAGAAAACTTCTTCCAGCAGGAAATCTGTGCCAGCCATCAGGATGAGACTTTGCACTGACAAAAAAATCGTTTAATGACCACCTCACAGTGGAATTGGGGTGTGACATATGACTATGGGTACAAATATGCCTATAATTCCTGTGGGGATGCCTACTTATTCACCTGACTTGCCAAAGAGAGCCAAAAGACAAAAGCTGCAGCAAGAATAAAACACAGCAAAATGCAGCAACAGCAACAACAAGAAGAAATATAATGTAATATGATATAATATAGCATGACCCAAATCACAGGCACAAAGAAATATGAGAAGAGGATGGATGTGCTATCTCTCCCATTCCAGTCTTTGTCTAGTTCATAACAGATTCATGCTGGTCATGCCTCACGCTGAAACAGAGTTACAACATCCATCTCAGGTGTAGAGTGTAAGGTCCAGATATTCAAATGTATCTGTGCATTTTAGCATACTTCTTAAGATTTGGACCTGACTTGTCTCCTGTCAAACAAAAAAGTCTGTAAGAGACCAGACGTAGGACGTGGTTTCACCGTTAAGCCATTTTTCTACGTTTGCCTATTCGACATGATTCATTAACTACTATCCACGAATCTTTATTTTTTTTCTTATCTGTAGACACGTATTCTTATTGTTTTGGCCTTTCAGTCCCTCTAGGTGAAACCACATCCTGGAACCTGCTTCTTGAATAATTCAGGATTACAAAATACATAACCCAGGTCACACAACAGCAATCAATCTCTACCAGCATAGATGGCTGCCGAGAGAAAAGCCTTCTTTCAGGGTAGCTAATATGTCAAGTTCAATGTGCTTTGCTCCCCTCCTAACATTACTATATTGCCTCAATCATCCACAGAAACAGCAAAGTGAATGAATGAGTGGGAAACTTTCTCCCCTTAAGCTAAGCAGGACACACTATTGCTCAGCGACTGCAAAACCCGCCGACCAAACTCCCATTATATTACATTATCTGATAGTGACAGAACGTAAGCCCGATGAACTATCCTTCTCCTGCACGTCAGCTAAGCATCCTTCACTGACGTGAACCAAACAGAGAGCTAAAAATTGGAAAGGATTGCCACTGCCGAGGAACACGACAGAGGACTCACGCTGTGGATCTGTCCTTCATGCTGGCAAAATCCTTCAGCTCGGGACACACACTCAGGGCAGCACTTGTTGGGGGCTATTTGGAGCACTTCTCCCTAAAAAGACACGAGAATCCAATAAGCAGTTCACATGAAACAGAGACTTTAACATGAAGGTAAAGACATGGGGCCTTGCTGGAGTCAGTGCTCCCAGTTTAGAGAGGAAACATATTAAATGAAATACATAATGCTGCTACAGCAGATCCCTTTGTTGAGAGGTGGCAGATCAGTTTGCTGTATTTGACATTTTACCATCAAAACAACAGTAGCAGAATTTACGTCCCTAACAGTACAATTAGGAAGTCCCCAGCTGAACTGGTTTTCAAACCAGAACAAAGAATAGAAAGCACTTACTCAAGGAAAAAACCAAGATTACTCACTGAAGGACCTCTGAGGAACGTGGTATAGATGTAATTTTTTCAATAGATAGTTTTCTACATGTACAGGATGGATCTCAGTCTAACGTTTCACCACACCAGAAGCGCAGCTGGCAGGCAGAATGAATGTGCATCCACTAACTGTACTTCTTCGACTTAATAATCACCACCTTTTTTTTAGTAACGCTACTTTAAAATTAACTGAAAACTACTGACCACTTCCAACCACAGCATAGTCAGGTGATGCTACTACCACTTTGCTTCGCATGTTCCAGGAGCTTAGCAAGCTGACCACTTGCTACGTCCTGCTCAGCAGCAGGGAAAAAGATGATGCTGATGGAAGCAACTCATCAGACGGAGGGCAAAACGCATCAGTAAAGACATCAGCCAACACTGGGAAGGATCATGGACTCCCGTCATTGAAAAAGTCTCCACGGACTCTCCAAAGCAATGCTTTCATGTTCCTCCCAGCTGCGTGTTAAACACCCCAGGCCTGGCACAGTGCCCCACAGACAGGACAGCACTGGCTGCTGGAGGATCTTATTGTGCAAGGGTGTCTGTCACTGATGGCAACTGCACATGAAGGCCCCTGGCCACCACCTCAGGTACCACAGATCTCAGTATTTTCCTCCCATAGCTGGAGAGGGAGAAAACAGAAAACCAAAACCAGAGAAGAATATGTCAGGTTCGGGAAGTGAAATGTAGAAAAAACTTGTCCATGAGGTCACCTTCTTCAAAATATTGCAAAGGTGTTTCTCAGGAGACATACTCCATCCTTTCCACTCTGAAAGGGTACGGCCAACGTCTAAGGGATTCCTGCTCAGAAGGGAGTCATTGTTTGTTTTGTTATAATAAAAAATGAAGACACTGCGATGCCAAAAAATTGTCTTACCTTTCACCTCTTTATTTATATGGTAAAAGCGACCAGAATAATTTGAAATGTCACAAGTTTTCTTTCTCTGTTTTCTAAAAGAAACATTTTGACTTTTCAAACTGAAAAAAGTTTCTCACTTCAAGGTTTCCTTCAATGCTGTGTTTTTTAGGAGGTGGGAGACAAAATTAAATATTTCATTTAGCTTAAACCATTAAACCCTATTCAACTGTGATCCTGCTGTTGGAGAAACTGTTCTTGGCTGTTGGTTTGTTTTGGTTCGCACAACAGAAATAATGTTTGCTGATTTTCCACCTACTCAAAGCATTTGGTATGCACAGCAGCAGGTTTTACATACAAATGTTTAGAACACCAATGGGTACGCTTTTTGCAAAGGCTGCCTGGTTTTGTTTATGCCTTGTTGCTGTAAACAAGATCAGCAATATTAGCATAAATCTCATAATACGCAGATAAGAAATAAACCATGGAGAAGGATGGCGATTTCTGACCTCGTTCATCAGTGGTTTGTTTATGCTTGAAGGATGATTGGATTCCTTCCTTGATGATCCTTTTCAACATTTAAATGGCCAGACCTTTATGGAACACTTAAACTCTCTGTCTTGAAGACTACCCATGTCAAGGAGTCACACAGATTCATTTCACACTATAAATCTATTTCCCTTTACGAGCTTTAAAGTTGCCACCTTTTCATTTATCCCATTTTTTAAAATGAACAACAACATCTAGCCCACTCATTGTTAGGTGTGCCATGACGGCACTCTTTTTTTATTTCTCTCCTCTTCGCACAAAAATTCCTGATATTTCAGTCTTGCTTTAATCAATACACAGTGATAATAATGGGGAAACCCGGTACGAATCAAAATTATTACCTCATTAATGCTGTCGTATTGGAAAACATTTTAATCTGCTTCATAAAGCCATATAATTTTATTGGCAGTGCCTCTTTAAAACACTAATTTTCGTTGTCATTCATGCGTACTACCCCAGTAATCCAGATGCTAATGCAAGACCAATTCCATGGCCAATTAGCTGTAACCATTAATGAAGGCTCAGAAAGATAAACAGGAGACAATGAAAGCTCAACAACCATCACAAGGCAGAAGAAACTGAAAGACAGACAATCTCAGCTCTGTTGTTGTTCATCAGAGTGGAAAGCATCCATCTGCACATTTGAGGGAGACCCAGCTCCGCGTTCAAATGAAGGGTGACTGGAAGCTGAGCTCATGCTGGGAGGTCCAAACCCAGTTCAGGGGCTTCCTTTGGGTACCAGACCGCCTTTGGAGCACAGGCAGCCTGCAAGCTGGTCCAACACCAAGCCTCTGGCTGTACTGTGGCAAAGGAGACAAAGGCCTCACACGCTGGGTTTTGCCTGTGTGTTTCTTGCATAGGCTTGCATCAATGAGAAGTGAAAGGGCACAGAGACTGTGCCTGACCCTGGGCAGTCACACACGCCCTGGGAGGCGAAACGGGATTTTCACTCCTCCCTCTTGCTTCCCCCAAATCCTGCTGTGAATCAGACCCTCGGGTTCAAAGGGAGCGGCAGGGAGACAGCTGAGCCCAGAGGGTTGATATGGCAGCTGTCACCACGGTGTACAAACATAAGCAAGCAGCTCACCTCTGCCAGTTCCTCCAGGGAAACACCTCATGCTGCATCCTCTTTCTGTGCCCCTCTTAGTACAAGAGGAGCTTTGCTTCCACAGGGACTGTAGGACCAATTACCCCAACTGCTCCCACCATTCCTTTACATGTAACACGGCATGGCGGACCCAAACAAGCATTTTGACATATAACTATTCCAGGGGTTTAAAGCAGGGGAAGGCTGGGAACTCCAGAGTGACCTGACATTTCTCCCACCACACAGAACGGGTCAGCTGGCATTTGGACTGTTGCAGCCCCTTACCTTCTGAAAGTCACACCAAGGGTGTTTGCAGACAGTAGGTTCACAGGTGACAATATTGCTATGGCAACGGCAGTCTTGGCAAGAATCTGGCTTCCAAATTGTGTTATTCTGCAAATAAACGTAAAATTTTAAATTAGACCTATACAGCACAAGGCGCGTGCTATTTTACGCAACAGCAAATGGCTCAAATAGCTCAACATAGACAGACTGGAAGAGTATAAAGTCTGCAACAGACCACTCCTCCCTCCCACACACTTATCAGGCATAACTTTGGTACTATTCGTTCAATAACTTCAAACACGCAGTTGAAAGACAAGGCAATGTGCGGCAAATAATCAACTCCAATGGCAAGATAATCGATAGGACATAACCTCCAATAACCTCAAGGTGATTATAACATCTCTGGGAAACTTCTCTATAATCAAGTTCAGACTGTCCAAACTGTAGCTGCTGCTACGATCACAGCTTGTGCTGAGGCAGCTGAGCTAGCTTTGAGGCTTACACGCTCCTGGACAGAGAGCTGTGGCACCATACAGCACCCCGTGAGCTGATGGGGAATGCAGGTAAATACTGACATGCTTGAATGCAAATGAGCTGTTGAATATAACATCCAAAATCTTCAGTCTGCAGGATCACAGAAATAAAAAGTTCTCATGTCAAAACCAGGACGTAAACTGCGCTCATTACGTTAGGCTGTAAGATGGAAGGAAAGGTGTGAAGAGCCCAAGATGCAATTAAATTGATTTAGTCAAAAATGCTGAATGCATGGCCACGTATGAACAGGCTCTACCTGGTCACATTTATTCCAAAACGTCACGAAGGGGACTCTGACTAAGCAGACAGTCCAACAAATCTGGAAATAGCCATCGCCACCACTCAATCAGTGCACCCAACTGGAACACCTGCAGCTAATTCGCAAGGGTTTTCACCACCCCTGCTTGACCCCTTTCCATTCCCTCCGCACTGAGGTCATGATCCCACGCCACCCCCATGCTTTCATAAGGCAGCTCAGGCCCTCATCCAGTTGCTTGGACACTTGCCAGACTTCTCCTTCTCTCCCGCCAGTTTCTCCAAGGTCTGAGCAGCTACTTGGGACTCATTACTTTCGGTAGGATGCTTGGAAAACAAAGCCTTCCTTCTCTTTACTCCCAAACACCGACTTCCAGCCATCCGGACATCAAACAGCATCAGCAGCATCCCAGAGAAGCGGCCGAGTCTGCCTGCCACACAACCAGCAGCACCCCGGAAAACCAGCCGAGTCTGCCCGCCACACTTCTCCCGCCACCCCCTTTCCTATGAAAATGTCTTGCCTGCACTCAGCACTCAGGGAACATCGACCTCCAGCCATCTGGACATCAAACAGCATCAGCAGCATCCCGGAGAAGCAGCCGAGTCTGCCTGCCACACTTCTCCCTCTGCCTGCCACCCCCTTTCCTATGAAAATGTCTTGCCTGCACTCAGCTCCTCTGCAGTCTCCCTTCACCCATGCCAAGTATCCTTTCTCTGGCAGCTTAGAAAAGCAACCAGTAACTACGTACTGAGGTAATCTGAAGGATACAATTGCTACGTTCGTATTTATTTATCTGTTTTTAAAAGCCTTCAGTTAAATCCACCAAAAGAAAAAGGAAAGAGGAAGATCAGTTTCTCATCTGAAAAACTCTTTTCTGTCAGACAACCACTGTGCGTATACTAGTCTAAATTTACGGCATACAGGAAATTTTCCTGTGTAGTACAGACAGCTGCTATCCAAGCCATTAAGCCTCATTTTTAATTGATTTGAAAGAAGACCAGATTTTGCTACTCATTTACATGATGTAGTGATTTACTCCAGTAAGTCAATTTACTCACAGTGTAAAGTACGACTTAGGCAAATGAAGATATGAAAGGATGATTAACAGTTTGCTACTAAGAACACATTTAGGGCTAACTACTAAAACTGTTAAGCATAATGATAAAACACTCAAATGTGCCTTAAAGGCCCATTTGACTGCTTAATGAGAGCAAAAAAGTCTTGAAAAATCTGGCCACTTGCTCAGACACTTACACAGAAGCTGCTGGGTGCTGCGCTCTTCTGAAAACTTAATGTGATGTACTACAAGCCAGCCTGCGCAAGCCATGGGGAGAGGCGATTCATAGGTGTCTGACAAGGTTTCACCACGCCTACGTGACTGAAAGAGGGCACTGGTAGAGGTTCTCTCTTCTTTGACCCGTCCTGCATCCAGGGCCGACCGTCAAGTAGAAAAGGCTGGCTGCCTCCCCTCTGAAACTGTGCTCTTTGTCAAAACAAAATGGCTTACCCTGTGACGCCGGATCAAGAGTGCAAACCTGCAAACAGTGGGATAACCAGAAATACTGCTAACAAATCCTTGTGTCTCTTCACTGCTTTACAAAAGCATTTCGTTCATATCAAACTCTGCTCTTCTCTCATGGCAAAGTACACGCACAGGCAACGAGCACTCTGGCAGGATCAGAAATTTAGGGAGATTCTCTGTTAATGTCATGATGGTGGCAACACTAACCTTAGTAACAGCAAGAGATGGCAGAAAGTGTACAGCCCTTGGGGCAAGATATCAACAAGACAAAGAGAGATGGTATTTTCCGCTCTGGTAATACAGCTGGTTCTCCTCTTGCATACACACGGCTGCAGCTGTAGAGCAGAAACCTTGACTTCATCTCTGCCAGCAGATTTACAGTACAGTTACAGAATAAATTCAGGTTAAGTTATGTGTGCGTCAAGCTTTAGCTAACGCACACGCCATAGTTAACTCATTCTGCTCTCTTTAACAAAGCTTTATCATACTCAGATCCACCCTAAGACTCCTAAAACCATGATAATACCCAGAACTCCTAACATTTTTCCACTGGCAAAAAGTGACATTTAATCTGTTTGACGAAACCATTTGATATATCTATTGATGTATTCCTTTGCTTGTTTTTTTCCACCTGGAAGGAGAATCCCAAAACAGTGGGTGAAAAAGGAGAAAATCTGTGCGAGAACGATGTCAACGCCGAAAAGCAGTCTGCATTTTAAAACTGGCAGCTCACTGCAGGGTGAGGCTGCTGTCTCATAAGCCAGCCACGGGGTAAGCACTGGGTACAGGGAGCGGAAAGGGAGAGAGCAGATTTAGTGCCTCATCGCTTGGCTCTCCTAAACCCTCACCCTGTGGCCTCTCCCCTTTATTTAAAAAAAAGAAGTATTTCCATGGTGGAATATTGGCCAAAGGACATGGCAAGGGATCAGCACAGAGCTACCCTTACTCACATTCTGAGACTTAAATGCTCAAGTTTCTGATAAGAAAACCCTCTCTTTGGCCTTCTCCCTCCCCTATTTTCTATTACAGTCTAAGCAAGCTGCCTCCTATCTGCGGGCTCAAATCAGCTTTTTCTAAATCCACCCAGTAGACACCTGGAAGCATCTGCACGCATCAGTGATTTCCATTTGCCAGGTATCAGATCAAAACCGGCACATCTCTGCAGAGGTTTTAAGACTTCAGAATCTAGTTAATAGTCAGGAGACTACTGCCTGATTTTTCGGATACGAGAGTCTTCCATGCAGTTCACGGGTCTTGGTGTTCAGCTCTTTTGACAGTTCAACATTTAGCTTAAGATTCCCGGCTGTGGAACAACAGACCTAAACTGAAATTTGAAAAGTTTGACGACAATTAAGTTTACTGACTTCTCTACAGAAAGGTGGAGTTTTTATTCTCTGTAATGCTACCAAATGTCTGAATGTTACAGTCACAGTAAATTGAGCAAAATGCAACGCTCTGGCTATCAGCAATTTCAAGTGCAAGGCCATTTAATTCCTTTGAGATGGGAGAGAAAAGCAGCACATGTACTTCATACACATGGTGGAAATCCATAAAAGAACAAGGAGGTTACTGCAACAATTACTTTTGGTGGTTCTCCTGGGTGCTGACTATTTTAGGATCACATTTCAAACTAATTTTAATGTGTTCCCTGTTTACATGGAAGCGTGTAGCTAACAGCTGCTAATACAGAAAAGCATAAAAAGATTTATTGGTACGTATGTAGAGCTCTTACGACCTGGAGAACGCAGACTGCTAGTATTTTCATTTTTCTTTTTGGCTTTTTCATTTCAAACATGACTACTGCTAAGGCAACCAAACACGGGCCAACAGCTTAAGAACATTCTTCCCAGTTTTGCCCTTAGCTAACTGTGAGACCTTGGTCCGCCCAAGCTAGGGTGACATGGTCAGAAGTGACAGAGAAGCCCCAGTATTGTAAGAAAGGCTCTTAAGTCACTCTGCTGATAGGAACTGAGATACTAATCACCCCGCTGCAAAATGAGGATCCCACCTACCTGTTCTGCACGCTGTAAGGCTTCGTTACTGTTCATCCAGCACTTACAAAGACACTTTAAAGCTCCCGGGTATTACTGTTTAAAACATAAAGCAAGACTTTTCACTAGACACTTAAAGAACTGCTGTAAATCCACCTTACATCTTCTCCAAGGCACTGTACCTCAGTGGAGAAATTATCTGCTACAATTTAAGCACTGAATTCTTATCCTGTTAAGAGTGTACTTTCATCAACGACAATTTAAGGGGCTTTTTCCTTACAAGTACTAATATAATTAACAGTATAAATAATGAAATACTGTGCACGGAGCACTTTGAAGACAGAAAGCACTCCTTAATTGCCAAGTAGTGCCATTGTAATTTATTAATTCTTTGGATTTCCCTACATCAAAAGAAGAAATGATACCTAATTCAACTGAATTTTAAAACACCATGCTGCAAAAAGAGATATCTACATTACTTGGTCAGTTTGCGGAACAGAGGCCAACAAGAAAGATATGCTCAGAAACCTTTAGAGCTTGCAGGCACCCAGACACAAGACAAAATAAAATAAAACCCAAGACACAGGAGCACAGCGCAAGCACGTACTGGGTTTGGAGAATACCGATGAGGATTTAGAAAAAGGCAGGAGAGAGAGCAAAAGAGCTGCACATTGAGAAAAGGCTAAGAAGAAAATGAGGCAAGAAAGCAACCAGCGGTAAAAGCAAAGGAGGGCTGAAGCAAAGAATAAGCTAAAGAGACAAAGAGCAGACACAGCGCGGAAGCGGGAGCCCAGAGCAGCTGTGA